GGGGGTTTTGAAGCCAAATGCTCTTGGAAGGCCTGAGCTGGTCATTTGGCTGTTCTCAGTCACCCTGGCTGTATGTCCAAATTATGCCTGGTTCCCACCAGGCAATTTCTGACACGATAGAGGACTTGTGAGGGGGGTAATAGCAATAGCAATAGCACTTAGACTTATATACCACTTCATAGTACTTTACATCCCTCTCTAAGTGGTTTACAGAGTCAGCCTATTGCCCCCAACAATCTGGGTCCTCATTTTACCCACCTTGGAAGGATGGAAGGCTGAATCAATCTTGAGCCAGTCAGGATCATACTCCTGGCAATTTATTTATTTATTTTATTAAATTTCTATACCACCCTTCTCCCGAAGGACTCAGGGCGGTGAACAGCCACAAGATAAAACACATAAATACAAAAATTTAAAATAAATTAAAAATGAATTAAATAATTTGGCTGAATTTAAAATACCCCGTAATTTAAAACAAATTAAAATTTACATTTAAAAAGGGGAGAAGATTTAGGCCAGGCCAGCTTGATGAAATAAAAAAGTCTTAAGCGCGCGACGGAAGGTGCGTAGATCCGGGATCCTCCATATCTCTGGGGGGAGCTCGTTCCAGATCGTAGGTGCCCCCACAGAGAAGGCTCTCCCCCTAGGGGCCGCCAGTCGACATTGTTTGGCCGACGGCACCCGAAGGAGCCCCTCTCTATGGGAGTGTACTGGCCGGTGGGAGGCTATTGGTGGTAGCAGGCTGTCCTGTAGATAAACAGGTCCTAAGCCATGGAGCGCTTTAAAGGTGATAACCAGAACCTTGAAGCGCACTCGGAAGACCACCGGGAACCAGTGCAGCTCACGCAGGAGAGGTGTTACATGGGCAGAGTTAGCCTGCAATACTGCATTTTAACCACTGCGTCACCACGGCTCTAAAAGAGTCATTGGGGAATGGGTGTCTGTATAAACTTACATACATACATACATACATACATATGCACACATACATATATGGAAAAGATTTGTGCACTAAATTAAAGTCGAGGCCAGAAACCAGTTGCCACTATCACAAGGAAGGACTATTATATGTAAATAATCAAACCAGCCCCTTCTACTGATAAAATAGCAAAGAGATCCAAGAACTGAATTTCAGCTTGTCGCACATAAAAGAAGCATAGGGTACAGTATCATAGCAGCCCTTTTTCTGTCGTTGCGCTGAAAATGCATTCAAAATAATTAAAAATAATTCAAGCACATACTGAGAAAGGAGAGGCATCTTTTGTGTCAGTGTTTACAGTCTTCATTGTTATTGCTTCTGTTTACTCTTCTATTCATTCCTTTCATTGTTGCTCAATGGCACTTAAACAATATAGCAACCCTCAGGTTGACCAGAATGGTGTACTTTTGCCAGGTAATCAAAAGCTTCTTGGTAATGTGGCATCCAGGTAAAACTACACTCAGGTTAAATAAGGTACTGTACATTTAAGCTGCATGTTGATTTTAAAGGCATACTATAGCGGTTGGGGTGGAGGAGCATTGCTCATATCATGGGAATAAAACAGAGGTGTGTGCAAAGGAACTGAATCTCCTTTCCTTGGTGGACTCCTGAACAAAATCTCTCTTTGAAATTAGTCATTGTTTTGAAGACGAAGAGGAAGAATTCACAGGCACCAAAGTAAACACCAGCTCTTTTTCTAAAACCTTCTGGACCACAGCCCAGGAAGAAAAGACTAATTCCACCCCCATTGCCATGCCCACTCCCATTCCATTAATCAGCCCATACAGTAGCTGATGCATTTTGCATTTTTGCACATTATGACCACAAAGATGCATTTAGTTCTACATGTAATTTGATTCTCATTTGATACAGAACCTCCTGTTTGTATGAAAAATTCATCTATTACAAGCTGTAATTATAAGGGCTAATATTGTAGAAGAAAATGGATAACATTTATTTTTAAAAAAAGCACTTTCAGTGTTGCCCTGAACTCACAGCTTCTACTTGAATGGCAGGTGAAGGCTATGGCCAAGATAAAATTTGCAAAATTACATCTAATTGTGTCCTTTCCTGGATGTGGCAGGACTATGAATTTCACTTGTGGCTTATCAACTCACAGCAGACCTGTTGCCATTCACTCTACATGGTACTGTGATGGAAGACTACTCAGACATTAAACTGGTACAGCTTGCCCATGTAACATCTTTCTTCTAGGAGTTGCCCTGGTTGCCAGTAATCTTATGATTTAAGGTTCTGGTTGCTCCCTTGAAAGTCCTGCCTGGGGTTTCTTCAGTGACAGCGCCCATCAGGGGATTTCATCAGCAAAAAGCCCACAATTGAGATCAGCTTGCTCTTACATCTACCATCCTTCCTTGTTATGATTTCACAAGACTGTAAAAACCCTCTAGCTATTTTAGAGAATATTTGGGTTAGATCCAGATTTAGTCTGGTCCGTGGATAGCAATGGTACTGTTTCTGAGATTATATGGGTGAAACGCCTGCTGTTTTAATTTAAAGATTTTGATAACTGCATGCTGTTTAGCAGGAGCAGCTCAGAAATCCCAATAAATAAATAGGGTCTGTCATCAAACTTATGTTCATGTCATATAACATTCATAGCCCTTGCATTTTGCAAGTTCCAAATATAGCGCAAAGTACTGAACAGAGGAAGCTATAGCTTCCAAGCTGCAGCCTAAAAGAGCATTAGTGCACTCTTAATAGGTGCACAACAAAAAGGAGATTTTCTGTCAACACGAACTATCTTAATCAATGGAGCTGAGCTGTTCCAAAGTAATGTTTACCAAACTTTTCTCATAAAGGTTCCCTTGGGAAAGAGGCCGAATTCAAAGTATAGAAACGAGTCCTGATTCAATTTTCTGTCAGTTTTAAAGCTCATCGTCGATCTGGCTGATGGCAACAAAGAATGTTTTCTGGCTGACTTTAGATATTGTGCATTTACTAATGGAGTATTGGGCTTCTTAAAGGAGCAACTTAAGGCAAGGTGTCTTTATATTACATGAATCTGAGTGTAGGGACAACTATAAATCAAACTCAATCTACTAACCCTATCACTTCTCTCATCTAAGTGTTACATAAGTCAAATGACTTACAGGCAGTATTCTTAACACTCAAAATTCTCACTATGAACTTGTTGTAACACAGGTACAAATCATTATATGCCTGGAATTAAGTGCTGAAAAGAAATTACAGAAGGGCAGAAAATGGAAACATCAGAGAAAGAATCTAAAGGCAAGCTGTTCAGGAGTTCCATGTGATTTTTCACTAATTTTCAATGACCAGCCGTGTCTTTCTTAATGAGCAATACCGTAGCTTTCACCTTACTATTCTTCCATGGGTGCCATTTTAACAGTGCATTTTTCTAATACTGGAGTTATGGACAATGAACAAAAACATTACCTGAGGCAAGGATGTTATTGGGAGATTTTTAAAAAATAGTTTGTTTGTGTTTTGGTGACTTCTTAAATAATTTAGTGTAGCACTGGTACAGTGATTTTGACAAGACCCTCCCTTCCCTCTCTTGGGAAGGTTCGCTATTACTTCAAATCATTTTGAAAGTATATCGCTGACTATGGATTACTGGACTCCTAAAGCTACAAAAATAGTTTCATAATCTTTTCCAGATTGATATGCATCAGTTATCTTTTTGCAGAAGTCTTTTGAAATATATTTTGAGCTGCACATGATGTGCCTCTAGAGATATGGTGACAACTTCACTGTGATGGTGGATACCCAAAGTTTATTTGATTTGTGCAGTGCTGGGTCATATCAGCTTTGATGTAGTATTTTTTCCACAGAGGTATGAGGTATAGCAGACATACTATATAACAACCTTGCAGATGTGAAACAGTCAGAATCTTATCAGTATCAAATTACAAGAGTAGATTCTTTTGTATCCAAAGCCTTCACCCCTAAGAGTCAAGTCAAGATATAAATAAATATTTCTAGAAGAGATTTTCAGGACCCTGATTTCTTCATTTGCTGTTGCTTTTTTGTTGAATGTGTTTTACTTTCCTGTTATCAAGTATGTTGCAGAAACAAATAAGTGCTATACAAACAAACAATTACACATAGAACCAAGGGATGCGAAATCTAGTCTCATTTTAAGCGCACTCTGGTGAATTCAGATATGCAAAACTAATATTTTTTATTAGCTAGCAGAATTATGTCTTTGAGAGGCAGAGTATCCTGATAATAGCATATAACGTATGCAGGATTTCAGATATCATATATATTTTAGGCCCATGTTGTCTGCTAATTGTTTCTTTCAATGTCTTGGGCAAATAAGATACAGTACTGGGAAGTGAAGTAGCTATTAATTTTAACATTATATTTCACTGTCATCCACAATTAAATCACACATAAAGCATTGGTCCTGTCTTCGCTTGCACTCAATATGACACAATCAATTTCCCTCTTTGGCCCTGTGACTCCATTTCCTCCCAATCCATGAGTGAAACATGTTTGTCATTGGCTGCAATGCTACAATAGCAATATTCTCCTTGTTATTCTGCTGCTCCCTAAGGACAGCTTCAAATGGGTAAAACAGGCCACCTGTTACCTGGATGCTGAGGTCAACTGATCGGCTGTGCATCAGGTATGATCAGAGGTGGGTTTGAGAGTGTAAGGATGTTTAGTGGCCAGAAGGGCATACCTTCTGGCCACTAATACAACATCTCTTTAGTCTGCTCAGCCTTGGTGGCGCAGCAGACTAAAGTGCTGTTAAATAGCACTTAGCTGCCAGCTGCCTGCAATTACTGCAAGTTCAAATCCCACCAGGCTCAAGGTTGACTCAGCCTTCCATCCTTTCGAGGTAGGTAAAATGAGGACCCGGATTGTGGGGGCAATAAGCTGACTTTGTATAAAAAGAACACCGCTAAGAGGGGGGGGCAAAAGCCCTACTAAGCAGGTATATACAAAAGTATGAAGGCTATTGCTTAACGCATTGTAAGCAGCCCTGAGTCTCCGGAGAAGGGCGGCATATAAATTGAACCAATAAATAAATAAACAATAAATACAATAAATCTCAGTTAATACTCTCTATTACCACTTTGTGTCCTGAGTCCCGAGCCAAACCCACCCTCTTTTTCTAAGTTTTTTGACACCATCTTCTGTTTAGGCTTTGAATGAGATGAATATGGGAGTAGCAAACTCCATTGTTTATTCTGAGGAAGGAGGTATATTAGTGCTTATTCTGCACTGCACGATGCAGACTGGAGCTATTTGCACTGTGGCATCTTCTTATGTGTTTCTTTATTTCACATTACATTCAAGAGTGTCAGCTTGACACAGAGTTGGAAGAGGCCATTCACTGAGTCCAATTCCATGCTCTGTGCTGGAATCTAAGTTAAAGCATTCCAGTCAGATGCTTGTCTAGCCTGCTTGAATGCATCCAGTAAAGGGAAATTCAATCCATCTGTGAAATTGGTTCCACTGCTGAGTTGCTCTTATTGTCAGGATATTTGATACTTTTCTCCCTGTTACAGATTTAGGAGATGCCCATATGGGATTTGAAAGGTGAGGCAGACAAGCCAGCCTCAAGAAGCCACACAGGGTCCTGAAGTCAGATCCTTCCCTGCTGAAACATGACAGCAAAATCGAGAAGAACAACTATTATCTTCCTTGTAAGGAAGGCCACGTTTGCCAGTTAGGGCAACATGCTCAGGCAGCATCTCAGAACAGATGCAGAGTTGCTCATATCTGCATAGATCCTAATAGTCTTAATGAATCAATCCCCAAAACATATACAGAATTTGCCTGATCAACCTGATCACCAGTCAAGCTCAATCCAATGCTGATCTTGACATGCCTACTGCTTTCCAACAAACATCTGCTCACCAAGATTTTCTGTAGAATTTAAAGTTTGGCCACCGTGCAGTTATGCCTGAAATGTGCATCTTTGCTGTTGGATTGATCCCTTTCAGCCATTGACTGGCTTTTAATTATGTGTAGTGCTGCAACCCCAGCTGGCTGAACACAGTATTAAGGCCACTTCAGACTTCCTGTTAACTTTGGGAGTTTAGGGGATAGGGAGAAATAGCATGTATTCCAAAGGTGCTTTTTCAGGAGGCAACTGGACTTTGTTTTTTTCTTTGAAGACATTTCTCTTCTCATCCAAGAAGCTTCTTCAGCTCTGACTGGATGGTGGGGAATGGAAGGATTTATATTCCTTGCAGACAGCTGGACATTTGCATCCTTTAGAGAATCATTGAGGCCATTGGGAGGTTTATCTGTGTCCTCAGAGTCACCTGAGTAGTGCAAATGGGTGCGGAGCCTTCTTGGCAGCAGGATGCTTTCTGCCCTGTGTCCCTTCTCTGTTGAAGGCAGGCGCAGGCTGTTGGGGATGAGTCTCTGTTGTCTGCTTCTCAAACTGAAATTTAGCATGTATTCCATCTTCCCTTCCAGTTCTTTTCTTTTTCCTGAATGCCTAAAAAAAAAAATTCTTAGCATGGCTATTAAGTACTAATTAATGCCTTAAGGCTGGCTTAATTTTTTTTAAAGCTGGAGCATGCAACATGGCAGCGGTCTCAAACCTTTTTGGCACCAGGGACCAGTTTCATGGGAGATAATTTTTCCATGAACGAAAGGGAGGGGATGATTTCGTTTCGTTTGCTCTCATGCTGCTTACCCCCAGATGTGCAGCATGGCTCCTAACAAGCCATGGACCAAGTTTGGGGACCCCTGCAATGTGGGATGGGGGTGTAGAGAGTGAAGGGCCACATTTAGCTTTGGAGTAGCTTGTTCAAGACAACACTATAAAAATGATTTGGGCCAGGATATAATGGCAAATTAATTTAGTGAGAGTGGGGTCTAATTACAAATTAATTAAATACATTACTATGTTTCCCCGTTCTTCATGTTAACAAAGATTAAAAAAAAATATTTTGAGGAAAGTGGGGACCTACCTCCAAAGCAGTGGAAGAACCACAAGATATGCAATCTTTATTCAGGTATAACTGATAATATTTTGGAGCTCCAGCTCAGCAAAACAGTTTCTATCAACCTAAAACATACTAACATACATTTCACTGTACTGCATTTAACCCCAAGGGCTCCACTCGGAGGTGGGTTTCAGCAGTTTCTGACCAGTTTTGGAGAACCAGTAGCAGAAATTTTGAGTAGTTCGGAGAACTGGTAGTAAAAATTCTGACTGGCCCTGCCCCCATCTATTCTCTGCCTCCCAAGTCCTAGCTGATCAGGAGGAAATGGGGATTTTGCAGTAACCTTCCCCTGGATTGGGGGGGAATGGAGATTTTACAGTATCCTTCCCCTGCCACGCCCACCAAGCCATGCCATGCCCACCAAGCCACACCCACAGAACCGGTTGTAAAATTTTTTGAAATCCACCACCGGCTCCACTAATATATGGGCTTCAACAGGGATATATCATACTTATTCCAGTTGCCAACTCTGACTAGGTTATTTCAGACATCTTTAGTTTGGCAGCCTTCCAATATGAAGGAAAGTTGTCTTGGCATATTTTATCATACTAGCAGGGAAAAGGAAAAAGGGGATGATCAAGATGTTATGGAGATTCTCAGTCATCCAGGTCATGGTTGACCCAAATATGCTTTTTCAAGAGGCAACTGGACTTTGTTTTTCTTTGAAGACGTTCGAAGAGTTGAAGATCTGAAGAAACTTCTTGGATGAGAAGTGAAACGTCTTCAAGGAAAAACAAGGAAGTCCAGTTGCCTTTTGAAAAAACACCTTTGGAAGATGATCAAGAGGTGCCACAATGTCCATTTATGTATCCCAGATTAATATTTGACTATGCTAAGAGGGTCTAATATATTCTTATTTCATGTACATTCACTGATTTCCATGCTATCATTACTACAAATGATAATAACAGTTTCATATCCTTCTTGTTTGTTCATTTTCCTGGTTAATTATACAAACTTCTTCCTAGCTATGCATGCGCGAGATGGCGGTTCCCCGAAGTGCCGGCTGAGATCGGGATGAAAGAGTTGCGACAGAAAACCGGGGGAAGGCCGTTTTTCCACTCATCGGCCCCCTGCCCGATATGCTGAGCCTTTGACAGTTCAAATGAGCCGTCTCTGACAGAAGACGGCTCTCGGATGACCCAGGGACAGCGATGAGAGGATTGCATCAGCTGGGTGCCGCTGGGAGGGCGGTGTCGGCCCTTGCAATCGCGCTGAGGCTGTTGGAGTTTTACCGGCCAGATCGGCGCTATTAAACGCTGCAGACACTCGGCGATTTTACATCTAATCGGGGGAGGCTACAGGCGTTATGGCTGCTGTAAGATCGTTAGCCCCCCCCCCGATGAATCTGCTGAGATTAAGGCAGCGGGTACTGTGGCAGCCTTGTTGATGGCGATGAATGTCACACTGGAGATGAGAGGCCGGGAAGATCTGGGCTGTAACTGCCCAGCGAGGACAGGCTATGACTGCGGGGTGGGGGGGTCCTGAAGAAGATCTGGGGGGCGGGGAGTTGGCCGGAGGGGAAGTGATAATTATCCATCTTGCTCTTCCCTGGGGTCTCTCCCTCCCCCATTTTTTGTGGGGGCCCCCCCAGACTGTTGCCTGCCTGGTTCAGCCTGTTTGTTTTACTCATCTTCAGTTGTCTGTTGGGACTTTTGTCATCTCCCCTATTTGAACTGCTATCTGACTCCTGGCTCCTCTCACACCGTAAAGTGTTACATCTTATCTTTTCACCCCTATTACTGCCTTATTGGTCTCGTTGTATTGGACAGAGTTATGGAGTTACAGACTGATGAACTATGAATCCTGGTGAACTGCTGCTGCATCATGTTCCTAGGAACTGCCCTATGACTCCGCCGGTGGATGTTCCCCACCTAGTCACTGTGAGAGGGTGGCTGGGGCTGGTTCCGCGGGACTCATTCGTTGCAGCCTTGGATTCTCCACCGCTGTGAGAGAGCGGTGGTTATGCCGGCCTGGGTTGACTCCTATTTTACCATCATTATCCCTCTTGTTTATCATCTCGGTTTCCTGTTGCTACTTTCCATCCACTTCTCATATTTATTATGGCTTACACTTCGGCGACCCTCCTTGCTCTGCGAGATGCCCCCCTCTCGCAGACATGGCCTTCGAATTTATCGAAGACCTACCTCAAGGACGGGTTTTGGAACCCCGAGTGGTGGCATGCTTCTAAGCGTGGTTTGAGGGGTTTTTTAATTAATGTTTTAAATCAAATTTTAAGGGGACCCGGGAGGCGGGTGGTAAGGGTTGAGCCGGGGGCGGCTCCTACGGTTCAGCAATTGGGCCCGTCGGATGGTTGTGGGGGGAGGGAGGGAGGAGGAAGTAACAAAGAGGCTCAGCGGAGAGAGGGTCTTCCAATCCTTGTGACAGTTGGGAGACGCAGAGGTCGGGAAAGGGGGGGGCTAGGAGGGCGCCGCCGCTTCGTTCAAGTGGTGGCGCCCTCCTGCCCCCTCAGCTCATCCTGCTCCCCCGACGGCGACAGAGTGCAGAGCCCTGGACTCCGACTGGTGTACTTAAATGCCAGGTCCGTGGTGAACAAGACACTCCTCGTCCGAGATCTTATAGAAGAGGAGGACGCGGACCTGGCTTGTATCACTGAGACCTGGCTGGGGCCGGAGGGCGGTGTCCCTCTCGTGGATTTGTGTCCCCCAGGTTTCCGGATACTACACCAGCCACGACTCCAGGGGAGGGGCGGAGGAGTGGCGGTAGTTATTAAGGAAGGTCTTAGGCCTAGGGAGGTCACTGTTCCTCAGGTTGGCGGGTGTGAATCCCTCCTTTTGAAATGGGACCCTGGAGTTCAGTCTGGGCTGTTGATCACGTACCTCTCCCCCAGCTGCGTGGCCTCAGCCCTGCCCGTACTACTAGATGTCTTAGCCGAATTGACAACTTTTGGTTGTGGGAGATTTCAATCTGCCATCGGCCGGTGAGTCATCTGAGTTAGTGCGGGAGTTCATGACCTCCATGACGGCCATGGACCTGACTCAGATTGTACAGGGCCCAACTCATATTGGAGGACACACACTCGACCTTATTTTTCTCTCTGGACAGTGGATAAATGATCATGGGGAGGGGACTCTATCTATTGACCCTCTGTCATGGACCGATCATTCCCTCCTTAGACTCGACTTTTCCTCCGCCATCCCCCGTCGCAGGGGTGTGGAACCAGTAAGATGGTTCCGCCCCAGGCGCCTGATGGAACCCGAAAGTTTCCTGATGGAGCTTGGGTCATTTCCCGCCTCCTTAGCCCACGATTCATCTGAGACCCTTGTCGCGGCCTGGGAACAGGCCGCGGTGGGGGCCCTGGATCGAATCGCGCCTTTGCGGCCTCTGATCTGACGCAGATCCCGGGCGGCTCCTTGGTTTACCGCGGAGCTCAGGGAAATGAAGCGTCGGAAAAGACACCTGGAGGGTGGTTGGAGATCCTCCCGATCCGAGTCCGACCGAACACAACTAAGAACCCATATTAGGTCTTATCTTGTGGCGATGGAAGTAGCGAAACGTAACTATTTCGCCACTCTCATTGCATCTGCATAAAATCGCCCAGCAGCCCTGTTTAGAGTGACCCGCTCCCTCCTTAATCAGGGAGCGAGGGAGGACCCCTTACAGGGCCGTGCTGAGGACTTTGCACAGTTTCTGCAAGATAAAATCACTCAGATTCGGACCGGGTTGGACTCCGACTGGACAGAGTCCGTTGAGGTGACAGGGCCTAGTCTCGGTGGAGACATCTGGGTTGAGTTTGAGCCTGTTTCATTGGATGACATGGACAGGATTATGGGTAGGCTGGGGTCTTCCACATGTTTACTGGACCCTTGTCCCTCCTGGCTTGTTTCGGCAGCCAAGGAGGTGACTGGAGACTGGATCCAGGCTATTGTCAACGCTTCACTAAAGGAAGGGGTCTTTCCCGCTGCGTTTAAAGAGGCGGTGGTTCGACTCCTCCTTAAGAAGCCTAACCTGGATCCTGACGTACTTAACAACTACCGTCCAGTCTCCAACCTTCGCTTTTTAGCGAAGGTTGTTGAGTCCGTGGTGGCACAGCAATTCCCTCAATTCCTGGATCTACCTGGATCCTTACCAATCTGGTTTCAGGCATGGCCACAGCACGGAAACGGCATTGGTCGCCCTAGTAAATGATCTCTGGCGGGCCAGGGATGGGGGTTGCTCCTCCATCCTGGTCCTTCTTGACCTCTCAGCGGCGTTCGATACCATCGACCATGGTATCCTGCTGCAGCGGCTCAGGGGGATAGGGTTAGGAGGCACTGTTTTACAGTGGTTCTCCTCCTATCTCTCGGGCCGTCTGCAGTCTGTTTGGGCGGGGGGTCAGGGATCCTCCCAGAGGCCTCTCACTTGTGGGGTGCCTCAGGGCTCGGTTCTCTCTCCTCTGCTCTTTAATATCTATATGAAACCGCTGGGTGAGATCATCCATGGTTTTGGGGTGAAGTATCATCAATATGCTGATGATACCCAGCTT